CTGTAAGTCCGATTACTTTGATACTATACATATTGTTCATTTTCTAATGATGTCTTCAGTTCTTTAATTAAAATGTGCATTGCTAACAGCGGAGCTATCTCAGCCGATAGGCTGCTTGTTTGAGATACCTTGCTTATATTTCTCTGACCTTTACTTTTAAGCCTAATCTCAGTCGCGAGTAGGATTATGCATTTATTGCATGCATATATCTACAGTATGACATGATGGAATCTTGAATGTAGATTTATTGCTGAAATCACAATCATTTCAAATATCAGTATGTGCGACTCTTATGCAAATTTGTATGCAAAGTTTTATGTATTATAAGACTGTCAGTTGGATGGGTGCACCTCTGCATGTTAGATATCCCATAGTAAAGTAACCAATGCAAATGAAATTCGAACACCCACTGTGCAATAGACATCCTTTAAGTAAGTATTCACGACACAAACACTCAAGTTACAGTTTAAAATACTTAATTAGCATAAAGGACGCTCACCGTGTCCCACCTAAGCTGCACTACACAAGAAAAAACAGCGAACATAACAATAGGCGATACACACTGCATGGTAACACGGTGAGCACCCAGACATGACAATAGGCGATACACACTGCATGGTAACACGGTGAGCACCCAGACATGAAAACAGTAGAATAAACACAAAGTGAAGTAAATATTTAACTGAAATAAAAGCATGTAAAAGACGACATTGTTCAAAAAACTATACTAGCCCTCGATTGATATTGTTAGAATTAGTAAATGTAGGTAGAAGCAGCATGACTGCAACTACAAGTAGAAACGCCATGACTGCAACTACAAGGTAAAAAATAATCAAAATGAAACAATTTCTAGCAGTGCAGTTTTTCATTCATTTGATTTTGCAAACTATTTCATTTTCTCTAAAAAAAACTGAAAGTTGGTACCATTATGTCTATTGTAGATGGAATTTCTTGTGCATATGCAGCTTTTTTTTTGTATTTCAATATTTGATAAGAATGTGAAATTAATTCATGCATATTTAATTTGCAACTTGAGATCATTAATATATCATTACGACATGTTGCTTTGAAATCTTTGCAATAAATGGTTTCATTGAAATCTAATTTAGGACTAATATTTTATTACTAATAATCTTTATTACTTTGCTTGTATTAATAATAAGATGCAAGGTATGTGGGGTTACCATGTCTGTTGTCATCGTCGTTAACACTTTCAGGATAACTTAATAATGATTTTTGTCGAATCTCACTCAAACTCTGGAATATTATCTACATACTATATTTATTATCTCTTTTCACTGTTATTGTGAAATGGTTTAAAGTGTTGATGGTTTATATGCTTTTGAAGATATTGCTAAAAATTGGGTAGTTTGTAATTGAAAAATGTAACAATATCTTGTCCAAAAGTCTGTCTGTGGAAACATAACACCAACAGTGTAATTAAATACATTTGGATACTGATAAGATTCTTTTGGGCACAGATCAGATCTGCTTTAGCTTTGCCTGAAAGTTTAAACAAAGTGAAGAAAACGTATCCATATAAAATGCTCTTCAAGATCTTTTATTTAGGTAGTCATTTCATGTCATTTTTTTAAGAGAACACAAAATATAAAGTACTTGTAGTTTTAACCAGAAGATTATTTATTTATTTGTATGAATAAATATTGATAACTCATTGTTCATGTTTTATACCATTGTTAGTTCAGTTTGTATAATGTTCTTAGATCTGTCTGTATCTGTGTTCAAACATCTTTATGT